AGAGCTGAAACAAGGGCTACTGATAGGCTAGTGGCAGCCGCCCCCCCACTGTACTGAATCAAGATTAGTCAAACTTCGCTCCTGGTTTGTTGGTTCAGGTAATTGAGGTACAGTATCAAGTACCTACAGTACCTTACTACTAGGTACTGATTGACTCAATTTGAAGTTCAAATTGCCGGAGAGTGGCAATGAAATCCTGTAGAATATTTTCAAGATGATTTCCCAGTTTACAGATTATCTACTTGAGCAGTACTGAGTAACATGATTTACTGAGGATTAACTTCCTCCATAATGCTAAATATAAATTCATTCCCGACCCCCTCCGCCCCCCCACCTCTCTCCCCCTTTCTCCTTCTCTCTCTCTTCTTCCTTTTAACACAATACCAACCACGGTTCTTGGTTGGTGTCAGTGACGGGTCGGGAACGGGCCCAATTGTTCAGCCCGTTGCTGGCACTGGCAATGGTGCCCATCCCAGTCTAGACTCTAGACTCTTTCCAGACCACTCCTCCCACTCATTAGCGTAATTGTCAATACGGATATGGATAGTTAAGCGACGATAGGTCATCAATACTGGGGGCTATCGATATGCAACTCTGTGCTAATAGAAGGAAGGTATTTTCTCCCCATGTTGACTTAGCCGCGAGAGAGATGGCATAAAGCATAAAGGAGGTAGAGAAGGGGAAAAAAAAGGAGGGGGGTGAATCAAGAACCACTTAACCACCTGACAAAGAGAAGATAAATACTCATAATCAGTTAGTAGACTACGGTGACTACCTCAGGTACTCCGTACTGCAGTCGAAAGACAACCAACCAACCAACAACCAACAACCAACCTCTCTCACTTCTCTGGGACAAACAAAGAATCAATTGAAAGCCTCCAGGCTGCCGCCCAGCCCCACCGTCCTGAAATCGCCCCAGTGTTCCGGACAATGAGCCAAACGTCCTCCGTAGACAGCCAGACTTGGGCCACACCCGTCCCACGCATTTCGGCGACAAACCTCCGCAGGAAACAATTTTTAATTAATGTACTCCGTACTGTACCTGGTAACCTCAGGTAGTGACGACTTGTTACTTCCTCTCTGTAGTCTACCAGACAAGGAGTCAAGCAGACCAGGCAGAATGCATTAAGTTACTCTTCTCTATGGCTTTACATGATCGATCAATCGCGGGTCCGATCCTGCATCAATGTTATACGTACGAGTACTCCATCGCCATATGATTTTGGTCTAGCGCTGAAGCTTCGCTTAGGTGGTAGAACGAGGTGGACCATCATGTCCTTCGGGGGGCTTAGAGAGTGAAGCTTGGCCTTTTGAGGGAGGGGGAGAGGAAAGACCCCCTTTCATCATCTCTATGACACGAGCGAGGAAATTAAACCACGCCTATGTTAATCTTACGGCTACTTCTCATTGCTTCGACCCTAACACGGACTACGGTACTCCATAGTAGTTCAACACGAAGAAAGCTCATTATTTCCACGTTGACAGAAACAGGTGCATCCACGTGGGCGTAGGGTGATATACGGAGTGGATACAGACAGGTTCCTGTCCACTTGAAGGTCAAAAAAGCTTTCACATACTCTGCTTGGCCAGCTGAATTATATTTCAGCGCGATGGCCCGAATCTTTGCTAGAAATCAAAGTTATGAATAATCTCTTGGTCCTTAGATAGAATTATCTAAGTCATAATTTCTATTTTGTTGGGCCCTCGATCACTAAATGAAGTTTTTGGTAAACTGTACTGAGTGACTCAGTTGATCAGGGAGTAAGTAGTATACTCAATCCCAAGGACTCTGTCGGGAACAACTCCATTCACCCAGTCACTCGGTACAATCCTGGCTGAGATATTGCTTGAATCAAGGGCCAGAACAAATGATCCCACCCTCGATATTGAACAAGAAATTGGTGTAGATATTATCTAGAGCATGCAGCTGCAGCTTTCCTACCAGTATGTGCTGATGAGGTCCTATTTTGTATACAAGGTTGTAACTTCTAGGTGGTGACAAATTTAAAGGAAACGTCCAATTTCTCGGATGTCGACCTTTGCCGCTATATTCCAGCACCAGTCACTGGCCTTCTTTGTCTGTTCTGATCCTAAGATGGGAATGCACTGATCGGTGAATTTTTCCATTAGTTGACAGTCGGTCATCGGCGCATCGAGACTGCCAACGGCATGGTCCACGTGTCGTACAATAGTATTATCGCCCGCCCCAAACTCGGCTACAATCTGGCATTCGTCCGTGCGAATAGTTTCCGCTACTGTAACAACAATTTTCTCGCGCAATCGGATTGTGTCGGGATCGGTTACGACTGCGTCCTCGTATTGCGCTGGCGTTACCTTGCCATATATCAGAGCAACTGCCCCGCCATGATAAACACTGAATTTTGCCTGCAGCCCATCAACAGGTTGAGTTTTGCCGGTCAATTCCAATACCAATGGATGAACAGTGACTTGGATCTTGTTTAGAGCTTCTAGCGGTAGCCCCCTTCTGCGCAACTCGCCATGCAGCCAGATGCAACCATCGATGACCGGATGTTTGACGATACCGCAAGGGAAAGGCTTGAAGGTGTTTTTCTCGAGTTCCCATTGATCCCCTGCTTGCAATCTAGCCATCTGCTCTTCCAGCCTATTATCATGGCTAGTGACCTGTACCCAGCCTCGCTTAGCCTCCAAGGCCTGCACCGAGCTGGTATACCCGTCTGATGCCAGGATAGCGGCCAAAAGTCCGTTCTGGGCTGCCCGACCCGGATGGAAGGATTTGGTGTGCGACCCAAACATTTCGCGCAGGCCGGTTACTTGAGTGGCAGCAATGCCAATTGCATGGGCTGTCTTCTCTGGGGAGAGACTCATGAGGCGCGACACCGCTACGGCTGCCCCAATGGATCCCGTGGAGCCAGTGATATGCCTGATCAGACAACCGGTTAGTTGACTTACTACGTAGGATTTATCAGGGCCACACTCACCAGCCCACGTCGTAGTGGCTCGGCCAGACTGCCAGGCCAATCTTGCACTCGAGTTCAATCCCGGCAGCAAGGGCAGTGAGAAATTCGGCGCCCGATACTGGTCGATAGAGCGACTGGGCGATACTCAGAAGGGCAGCCGCCACAGGCCCCGTCGGATGAATGATGGTTTCTAGATGCGTGTCATCATAATCATGGACGTGCGACGCGATACCATTGATCAAAGCTGCATGCTGCGCATCCACCTGAAGTCCCTCAGAGCCTAATAAGGTCGAAGTTGGGGCGCCAAAGAAGCGGGAAAGGGAGTTGCGTGCGATGGAAACAGCGGGGTGATTGCTGCCCCCAACCGCGCAACCCACCCAATTGTAAAAACTTCGAGCGGCTGCATTGAGGACGCCAGGAGGGAGTGAGGAGGGAGTGAGGGAGGTGGCCCAATGTGCAGCATGCAATGTAGCCATTGTGCACGGAAGGCAAAGTGTAGAGGAAAATTGGCGGGAGGGGCGAAGTGGTTGAAGAGTGGTGCGGCGGGGATGTCAATAAAATACCGAATATAGATGATCCACTGGTCGATCTCATTTGCTCATTTCCTAGTTTTATCATTACTGCTTAGTACTACGCGCTGTGATGTATCCTGCCCCTCTCCCAATGCAAAATCAATAGTTTCGTAGCAAAAGCTCATTTCCGTCCTGATTTCTCCTGCATCTCACGCATAGCAGCTCGAGCACTTCGACTGCCCCCTAACTTCGGCCCTCGGGGGGCTTCGGTCTTGGTAGATTTCGTATTTCTGGCTCGCGCCACCCGACGACGGGACTGAATGGCATCAAGGAAATCTTTTCGGAATTGCTCTGCCACCCTATCGTCGGCGGCTTGACCATCTGCGTCTCCTGCCTCATTTTCCTCGCCCTCTAATGGGCCATCATAGACGTCCACTAAGATAGAGTAAGATCTCAAGATCAGAAGATTTCACACTATGAGATGAGAACTCACATTTACTCTCTCGTAGAATCTCTTCAACCAGTCGATCTCGTTCAACGTCCTCGCTGGTTCGTCGCTTCCGGTTGCGCCATGGCCTCTGCTCCTTTCCTGAATGTGTCGCCTTGGAGCCGCTTTCTGTCGCAAGCGCCAGGTCATTATCGTTCCCAGCGAGCTTTCTGGTAGCCGCTTCAGTCCGAGCGATGTTTTGCAATTTAGACTCCTGACCAAGGTCAATCTCGTGTAGTTTACCCAGTGAGGCCGGTTCACGTTGTGGTAGGTCAGCCATCGACGGGGCAGCTGTCGCTGTGGTTGTTGAGGCCGAGCTGTCGCGAACGTCCTCGGCTGACACGCTGCCTCGATGACGCTTGGCCATTTCGAATTCTATGTAAGCCATCCTTATCTCGTTAGTCAACGTCGCCAACCGGTAACAATTAGGGGCAGATGAAATAGGAAGGGTACGTTCGTACATATGCTTGTCAACGTCCACCGTCTGCCCTGTATGCGCCGTGAACCGATCAGACATCGCTTGCAATCTCTCACTCTCCATGTTCTCGGCCGTCGTACATGTGATATTTTTCTGGTTATCGTCTTTCGACGTTGGCCGCGAGGCGGTTGAGAATTCAATTCCCCCTTTGCGAGCCCGTTGTAACCGCCGAAGACGAGCAGCATCTAAACTAAGGCTCGTATCCAACCCATCCGACTGAGGCAGGGAGGATAATCCGTCTGATGGCTGGCCGTAAATCTCCACGGTGGTACCCTGCGCATCCTCTAAGCTGTCCCCCGGTCGGCGTCGCAGGAACTTTCTCTTCTTCACTGGGCGGAAGAGAGAGGTCGGGTTGATCTCAGTATCCATAGTCGCATAAGCAAAATATGACCAGTTCCAAGATTTTTCATATACCAGAACAAGGAAGAAAGGATGTATATATGATATTGGAGATGATGACAACGACGACGACGATGATGTTGGTAGTGGTTGATGTTGAGTTGATGGCGTTTTGCGCTGGCGGGTACCAGCTGCGGCGCCGGGGGCAAGCGCGGCGATTATTCATTCCTTCAATGCAATCACCATTCATTTCCCGCCAGCCGTGCGATACATTCATTCCCCCACCATCAAAAGCCTCTCGGCCTCCAGAAGTAGTTGGCTTGTCTATGGCCTCTTTCTAACTACCTTCTTTCCTTTCTTTCCTTCTTGTCGCACGCATTGAACCGAGCCAATTTCGCTCCAAGCTACCGTTACACCCACTTCTTCACCCGAACAAGCTGTGCCCTTCCTTGACCTTCGGCCATGAACCCATCCATTCCACCCTCAACAGCCGAATACGGCGGAGGTATGTCGTAAATCATTGCTGCAAACTGCTAAGAGTCTGGATTTTGCGCCAATGATGACCGAGCAGAAACGAAATAGCTGGCTGACCACGTCACATGGACAGATGAGGTTTCTGCGATCGTACTTGACCCGGGCTATTCCACAACACGCGCTGGATTCGCTGGTGAGGATACACCGAAATCATTAATTCCGACGTATTACGGCAAATACACCTACGATAGTCAGGAAAAGTTTATATTCGGAGATGATGTCTTCGTCACCCCCCGTCCTGGTCTTTCAGTCCACAATCCCATGGGCCGGGACGGGATAGTAGAAGACTGGGACATGGCCGAGAAAGTATGGGAATATTCATTCACCTCGCGCCTCGCAGGACCCAGACCTGGAAATCCCTTACAGAATGGATTGAATGACACTCCAGACAACGAGCTGCCTACGGAAATGGAGGGTTTGGAAACCGAAGAAAAGCCTCTCGCGGACAGCCCGTTGTTGATGTCGGAACCTGGTTGGAACCCCACAAAGGCTCGCGAGAAGACCATCGAGATTGCTATGGAGAAATGGGGCACTCCAGCCTTCTATCTAGCGAGGAATGGCGTTCTCGCAGCGTAAGTTATCTGCCGCCAACATCTACCGCGATCTAATCTGTTGACTTGACTTCCCATTTCTAGCTTCGCGGCCGGCAAAGCCTCTGCATTGGTTATCGACATCGGTGCTTCCAACGTATCTATCACTCCGGTTCATGATGGGATGATTCTGAAGCGAGGAGTTCAGCATTCCCCTCTTGGAGGAGAATATATCTCGTCGCAGCTCCGCGCTCTCTTCAAGACGAATGCACCGCAGCCGATCACCATAACACCCCATTATCTCATTTCCTCCAAAATTGCTGTGGATGCCGGACAGCCTCCACAAGCCAAGTACAAGACTTTTTCACCTGAGAAGGCTCCACATGCTAGCTATCGCACTTTACTCGAGGAGCGCACGCTGTGCGAATTTAAGGAATGCGTGGTCCAGGTTTGGCCCGGGCCCAATAAGCTTTCTGGAACGGGTCCAAATGGAGTTTTGAACGAGGACCTTGCCAAAACCAGTCCCGGGCGGCCTTTCGAGTTTCCTGACGGCTATAATCAGGTCTTTGGTGTCGATCGTTATCGAGTCGTCGAATCGCTCTTTGACGCCAAGGCCGCGATTCCGGACCCTGAATCGATTTTCCCACCAGCCACACAGGCGCAGACCGTGCCCGAGTTGATCAAGAATGCACTGAATGGCGTTGATGTGGACGTTCGCCCACACCTCTTGGCGAATGTTGTTGTGACAGGCGCCTCAAGCTTGCTCTATGGTTTCACAGACCGCTTGAACCAAGAGTTAATGCAGATGTACCCAGGGCCGCGCGTGCGTATCTCAGCCCCAGGAAACACCGCAGAACGAAAGTTCGGCTCTTGGATCGGTGGAAGTATTCTGGCCAGTCTCGGAACTTTCCACCAGCTATGGATCTCGAAAAAAGAGTTCGAGGAGCATGGTCCTAACATCGTTGAGAAGCGGTGTAAGTAAGATTGTCCGCCTGTTATCCCTATACTATCTGTCTTCAGGTTTATTACAAGATGTCCGAAGGTCATTATTGCGGTACCTTCTACGAATTGGTCTGGTGCTTTTTCTTGCGATGAAGCTCTGGTAATTACCGTATAACTCGAAATTCTATTTTCGTTGATTTCATCAATCGGCTGTTGCTATGGTTGTGTACCAAATCTACAAGACTCCGCCTCGTAAGCACAGGAGGTGTATGATCTTTAAAACTCAAACTCCCCCCATCATAAATCTTTTAACGTTGTAAGGAAGGCTGTATTCATGGCGGGCCCCACTCGGCACCCTCGGCGTATTACGCACCTTAACAGCCTGTGGCATCGGTCATTCCATCCTGAAAACAAGCAATCCTCCTGAACTTCAGTCGATCCACGGTTGAGACATCACAGGGGAATATCATGTTCATTGTTGCGCAGCTGGGGATTGATGCAAGTCCGCTTTGTGTGCCTCTGGCCCGAGTATCGAAGGAAGGGCTGTAATCACCGGTTGCAAGGTTTCTTTTTGCTTTCCGAGACTCTCGTAGGCGGTACCCCTGATCTTGAGCGCCTTCATCTCTTGAGGCAGGCTTGTCTGGGCGGGGAACAAGTGGAAGCGAGGCGCTGTATTGGATTTTGGCTTGAGTGAGTAGGTGTTGAGCGTTTCCGAGTCCTTTTTCGGAAGCCATGCCATGTCTTCGGCGGAGGTTGGCTCGAGAACGTCGGGATGGGTTCCATGCGCCGCACCGGTATTCTTGGACGATGCCATTTGAAATTTGCTCCACGGTCCGTCCTTCTTGAGTCCGGAACTATTCTCAACAGTAGCCTCGTCCTCATTGCGTGCTGCAGTCTCCCAAGCATCCTGCACGCGGTCAGACCTGAAGAACTGCAGCAATTGGGCTTTCATCGTCTCCCGCCTCAATGATACGTGTGGCATAGGGGAGTGTTCGGCTGGGACTGGTGCTGATTCTCCTTCGCGTTTCCGGCTTTTATGCAAGAATTTGAGGTGATCCAGAGAGATACTCCGTGCCCTTGACGCCCTGGATGGCGCTGTGGATGGTCTCTGGACTGACTGGTCTTGAGGTTCCGTCGGCTTCGATATGGATTTTGAGGTCGTCACTACATTGCGCCGAATGCTGGGAGCGAATACTTTGGAGGCCTTTCTGTCCGTCACTGCACCGACGGACGCTGCTCGGTCCATCATCTGGGAAGCGCTTTCTCCCGTACTTCTTCCGGCCGCTCGCAAGTTTGGAACACTTTTCTGCATCAACCTTCGGCGTTCATTCGGCCACAAATTAGGCGCTGATTGCGGAAGGTCTGGTGCACGAGGCAGAGGTTTGTATGATATGGGAGAACAGGTTCCGGCGTTTGAGTCCTTTTCAAATACTCGTTCTTTGAGCGATCGTCCTCGCAGAAGCCGGTTGGAGCGCCGTGCGAAGGAAACCTATATTTGTGTTAATACTCAAAGCTTTGGGCGTCATGGTACATTTCGATACTGACCACGGACTTTCGACTTGCCACACCGACACGCCGCTGCATTTCAGTTATAGCCAAGCCGAGCTGACCAAGTGCATATTGGAGGGCCACGCCTTTGCGCTCGAGCTCTGAGAATGCACTGTTCCAGCCCTCTGCGTTTGATAGCATGGCATTATAGATCGCTACCAATCTACCCGGCATTGGGCCGTTCTCGTTCGCCGATTCGAAAAGGTATCTCCAGAGGGCACCGATCGCTTCCCGTCCTTTCTTTATATCCTTCAAGGCGTCCTGGACTGCGATTGTGAATCTTTCGATTGCATGTTCAATCCTCTCGTTATAATCAGCGATGGAGAGACGAAAGCTACGGTCCCCCAGCATCTCATCGAAAACACCTAGGTTTTCCAGAGGTAGACTAAGGTACTGTATGCGTGTGCGCACATCAAGCTGTATGATGGAAAAATCCTCCGCAGTTCTCCCCAAGAATCCATCCACTTCATCCACATGGGATTGAAGAATTCTCAAAACCTCCACATCTGACTTGGCCAATCCTCTAACAAGGAGATGAACGCCAAAAGACATTTGCGCGGTAAGCTTCCAGAGTGGATGATACCTGCCACAATTCAGCATGCCGTGTCACTGAATAGCGTTTGTGGCGACTGTGGCTCGATTACTTACCGTTCATCGGCTCTTTGGCGCCATTTACGACCACAGAGCCGCTCATATTTGGGTGTCTCAAGGAGATCTCGGCGTCTAGTTGGAGCGTCAAGCTCGACTGTGTCCCATCGTGCTGTATGGCGAGCCTCCGCAATTGATTCTTCAAAGGGACCCTGCAATTGGGGTATTGGGTGCAACGAAAACTGGCCGGTATGCCTTTGGCCGGATGCGATGCAGCCTCCTCGTCCCGGAGAAGGGGCACCAGCACCCGAGGCGGCCTGATTCCCTCGCTTTGCGACCACGCCGGCCATAAAGATTCGCACGCTTGTCTAGGTGCACAGCTCAATCCACAAGTTGGATTTACTCCAAAACATTCATTTACGTTTCGCAGGAGGAACGACTGTGGCGATTGTGGAGAACTATTGGCTCTACAGATTGAAATTCAGGTGAGATGTGGAGGCTATACCCCATCCGACAGTGCAGCCAGATTGGAGGAACCCATTGCAATTCAAGCTGTAGAACAGCTCGGCGCTGAAATCTGCACGACGACCGGAAGGGCAGGCAGGCGTTGAATGGATGGCAAGGATTGGCACTCCGAGGATCAGAAAGTAAACGACGAACAAAAGAAGAAGCCGGGAAATTTGGTGAGAGAATCCGTTGGCGAGGAACGGGCCTTTCGACACCCTGGTGGAGGTGTTATCTCATAAAGTTTGATAAATGGTTTTCGTCATTGGCTAGCACAGGTGTTTCTCTGACTGAAATCTTGACAATTCTGAATTATGGGGGATCCAGATCGTACAAGTCGCTGAGGTGTGCAGAAGTAGCAGAAGGGAGAGAAGGATCCGAGGAGAAGGTGGTGGTGGAGTGGCTTTTCAATTTATAAACGAAACAAGGAAGAATAACGAAGGTAACTCAAAAGGACAACAGTCACATCTGAACTTACTTTACATGCAAAATGCCCGGTGGACAAATCAGCCGACAGTTCCTCCAATAAGTTCTTTCAAAGTCTCTCGTATTCTTCTCTAGTGTGTGAAGGCGAAAAGGGGCGCGGGATGGGTCTAGACTTCACCTGAGACTCGCGGACACAGACCATATGGTAATTTATTTGTTCACTACTATGATGCTAATAACCATACTTCCAATCATGAGATGTATGCATACATCGCGTGCATACACTTCCTGAGTTGGCACAGCCATTACCAGATCCCGGTCTTCACCATGTGTTGGCGACTGTCACCTATGAAACGCAATCCTAGGGATCCTGGTACAAGCTGGGTCCTTGTCACTGAGACGGCACTAGTGCTCGGTCTTCCACACTGATGACGACCGGCAGTTCGCTAACGAGAATACTTCGGCATGTTGAAAGGCGTGCCTGGATAGTGGATAAAGTGGATTCCAAAATGCCAAGCCTGAACCCCCGAGAACAACCACATTTCCACACATTCATTTATCAGGACTGGGATCGCCGAGTCAATGCTCCCTTGCTGTGCAGTGTCATGCCACTGACTGTTCCGAGCTTAGAAAAACAGGATCCAAAAAATAAGTGGGAAGAGAAAGGTCGAGGAACTCCCCGAATAAAAAGTCTATATCAGCGAATCGGCCGCACTCAGGATCGGTGCTGCTGATGTTTTGTACCTCCAAAGCATTGGGTGTTGGCTGCGGTTGTGTGTACATAGGTGTACATAGGCAACAAGATATCCGTATATATGCCCTGCCCAGCATTAGAGGAAGATGGCAACAAGACGGGCATGGTCTTCCCCAAAGACCGCGGAGTGCAGACGCTCGGTAGGTCTAGCGATTGCTCATTTTCATGATCGTGCAGCTGGTATTTAGGGTTCGAAACGTCGATCTGATGAAGTGCCTTTCGTCCCAGTCGGGCCATCGCCTCTGCGGTTGACCAATAGGCACTTACTCTCTCGAGCAGAACACAGGAAGCTTCTAGGCCGGCCCTGGCTCGATTGAGGTGAGTAATGAGTTTGCTTGAGCGAAATTGCTGGTACGAAACACCCATAGATAGCGTTATAGCATAAGGAATAATGGGCAGTGGTGGTAGACTTCCGGAGCATTCCGTGGCCACAATGGAATGAATTCGGACTGCGGCAAGTCCCTGACGAACATACGAAGGTTTCGACAGATCTGCAGGATGCGATAATCTGTATCTGCAGGAAAGGATGCCGACAGCATGGTAATACAGCTCAAGAAGACCTTTGCTACTATTAGCAATTGCCCATAAGAATGGCTTCTATCTGTTCGTGTGATCACTCTGTAATATGACGATCAGAACAGAACATACCTAAAGTAGCAAAGTCCAAGTCGGAACACCGATCCCCTGTGATGCTCTCAAACGTGGGGAAATCTGCTTCCCATCCAACCGTGTGATCCGAAGCTGGTCTGTAGAACGAGATCACCGTTGATAGTAAATCCGAGATCGCAAACCATATGTCGAAATTGACGGGAAGTCATAACCTGACCTTCTTCACATGGGCGAAGATAAGGTTCGGCTGCGCGATCTTTAGCTGCTACGAGACATACTGCGCGTTCTAGGAACACAGATATCGAATCTCCAGCATGAGCTGAAAGCAGGGAATCTGGGTCGACAAGGGGTAATATATGATTTAGTTTAGTGAAATAGATGGGTAGAAGATGATTTCGCGCCGAATCGGGCAAACGCTCACAGGCCTTCAATGCAAATTTAGACTGCCGGTGTAATAAAGAAGCAGTCGATCGCGCCCCGGGGCTGTAGTGGTTGGGGGCATCATGAGCCGGCGTAGATTCGGAGTAAGATATATGCTCTTCACACGTTTGAACAGAAGAAGAACTGACCCAGAGGCCAATTCGGTCTCGCAGCTGAATTCCGTTGGCGAAATCTAATTTCTCACGTATTACGGCTTCTGGGTTCAAATCTCCAACAAAGCGTTCAGTGTGTGAGCCCTTGTGGAGAATCGGTGTGATAGATGTTATCTGGGCCGTTGTCACTGTTGTAGATGAATTGGTATCAACAAGAAGCGATTGGGCAACACGGTCCTGGGGCTGTTGCTCTCTTTGGGGTACCTCAGGAACTGTCACGGTGCCTTCACGGCGTTGATTGCTTTGCAGGTCAACAACGGTCTCTGTGACAAGATGACGGCACCGTTTCTAAATAAAATCATGAGCGCATGTATCTATAGCTCAGCATATGCTTTCGTCATGGCATGTGAGTTGTATGAGGTCAAAGGGGGATCTCTCACACCTTTTTCCTCTGACAGTGGACACATGCTCTCAAAGCCCTACTGCGTCGTCTACCTTGTGGTATATCAGCGAGCCAGACAAGTTCCATATCTTGTTGACTTAACTATCCTATATGACACAAACCTACCAAGGGTATAAGTATAGCTTATCTCGGTGGGATATGACCGGTACACAAGGCGTGAAATGGGTGTTAATACATACCCGCCGGGCCTATGTCGAGAGTAAAAAAAAGGACCTAGCCGATACGAGTCTCAGACTAAAAGATTAATAGCAAAGCTTCAACGAATTCCTGCTGTAGGGGGAAAGGTTGGGGGGGAGGAAACCTGCAGACATCACTGTGCAAATGTTAGTCTAGGTTTAAAGTTGACATATACCCAATACTGTCTGTAATTTATATGATGTTATATACAGTACAGAACAAATCCATAGAACAACCATCAACTTATAACCTTACTCCAGTAACTAACTACTAAATTGTACCTATTCTGTTAAGAAGAGAGAGAAATCTACTCACTCTAGTAGCAGTAGCAATCCTTTAAGTTAACATGTTTCCAACAGATGAATTTTCAAGGATGAGTATCAAGTTATTTGAAACAGATATAGTCACGGGTATACATAGTACTTACCACATTGGCTTCCAGTCTAGTGCTGAAATTACTGCTGGTGTCAATAGCAATTCATTCTCCTGCAAGGCTAGGTCCAACCCGAGCGGTCAAACGTCAGTCAGCCCGACTCGGCTGGTGTTTCATTTCCGAGGACGCGTGAAACTCGCGCGCGACCACGACGCGTGCTTGTTTCCTCGGAGTTGTTGTTAATTATGCTCGGTCTGCAGCTGATCATGAAAGCATCACATTATACTGCTATTATCCCAGCCCTTGCCAATCTATTCGCCCCAGTTAATGCGTAAAAGCTGGTGATGCCACAAGTGCCCCCTGAGCTAGCTCCATTCTCTCTCGTTTCAACCCTCCTATCTGGATCTCCTTGCCATTGCCGTTGCCATCGACCATTGGTCATTCACCCTCTCCCTACCACATACTATCTTCGGGGTCTACTCGCTCTCTGTGAACACGCAAATCCAATTGCAGTATGGCCGGTCAGGCGGGTACGAAACGAGATGCGGATCATCTGAAAGACCCAGCCGCAGATCGAAAGAAGTCCAGGGTCAACGGTAGCATAACTTCTTTCTTCAGTGTTCCAAAGCCCTCAGTCTTGGTCGAAACTATGCCACCGACCAGGGCCTCGTCCAACTTCGATAAGCAGAAATGGGTGGCGTCATTAAACCCCGAGCAGAGAGAGCTCCTTCAACTTGAAATTGATACTCTAGATGAGAGTTGGTTGGCACAACTCAAGGACGAGGTATTGAAGCCGGAATTCCTAGCTTTGAAGCGCTTTCTGCAGAAGGAAAAGCGATCGGGAGCTAAGATTTTCCCCCCAGAAGAGGAAATTTACTCTTGGTGTGGTTTAAGCCTCAGATGTCAAATAGCATTTTCCAACTAATACAGTTTAGGTCCCGCCATACCCCTCTGCACAAGGTCAAAGCAGTAGTGATTGGGCAGGACCCCTATCACAATCATAACCAAGCTCATGGTTTGGCTTTTTCCGTCCGCCCGCCAACACCAGCTCCCCCATCCCTCGTCAATATCTATACGGGGATCAAGAATGACTACCCTTCCTTCCAGCGACCACCGAACAAAGGCGGCCTTTTGACTCCTTGGGCTGAACGGGGAGTACTTCTTCTCAATACATGCTTGACTGTCCGCGCACATCAGGCTGCCAGTCACTCGAACAAAGGTTGGGAACAATTCACTCAGAAAGTCATCGACTTGGTGGCCCGGGTTCGTACTCGTGGCGTTGTGTTCTTAGCATGGGGGACGCCGGCCGGGAAACGGGTGACAGGCATCAACAGAGAGAAGCACTGCGTCTTGCAATCAGTTCATCCAAGTCCGTTAAGCGCATCTAGAGGCTTTGTGAGTCAGCATTTCGGACATACAGGCGCAGAATGCCTTGCTGATTATTTTTGTGGCTACAGTTCACCAACCAACACTTCAAGAAATGCAACGATTGGCTATCCGATCGGTATGGCCCAGGCGAGATCATCGACTGGAGTCTAAGCTCCAAGAATAAGACAAACAATCCCCTCACCAATATTCAAGGCCCTGCTCCACATGAGGCAAATGGTTGTGAGGATCTAGCGGTTAAATTACCCAATGCTCATTACGAGCAAGTGTCTCATCATGACTCGAAAACCCCCATCCCGACCGAAAATGCCGATGAGTTCGATGAGGATTTAGATGCATTGGAGGTACTGGCGGCAGCAGACTCAACCACTTGAGCGTCAGGAAGAACGACGCATTCTATATCTCTGATGCTTTATTGGCCCGGATACCTCTAGGTACGAGTTACAGGTTATCCATAAGTACTCGCCATCATTGAATTGATAATTTCAGAGTGACAGTTGATAAAATGTGGGGTCGCGATACAACAAGTCGTGTGATTCTAAGGCACGCATTTGCGGTCATATGGCACCAGGGGCACGTGCGTAGATGCTTCAATGTGCTGATTATTGAACTTATCCCCTAGGGTAGCTCTAGGATTAGGTTACTTCGTTCCGAGACGGGGTCGGAAATTGAAATCAAGAGGAAATCAATGATAGACTGGTTTGACTCCCAGCTACGTACGCACTAATATATACCTGCCCTCAAAATATGAGCCCCATACACCGAGACATGTAAAATGTGAAAGTCCTGTGTCCCATAGGCCTTGCATACCAGACTTCCTTGGTCTGGCGGTTAGGAAAAGACGCCAGATCAACCTTGTCAGATACGTATGTGAGAAAAGAGATATAAGCTAGAGCGGAAACGGAGAGTAACAGGCTAGATTGAGAATAATAAGATACAATTCATTAGAGGGACCAGGAGCTTCCAAAACAATTAGAGTTCATCATGCTCCACCGCTTCTTCTTTGGCAACTTCCGGGGCCTCGTCTTCAGTGGGAGCTGCAACAGGGGGAGTGGTGACGTCCGCATCTCCCTGCTGCTCCTCAGGCTTAGCATGGGCATCAACCTTGTGCTTACCATTCTCAAAAATGAAGTTGGCGAGGTCCTCAACTGTGCGGGACCCTTCATACTCAATTGGAGAATCCTTGGCGCCGGCTGGGTACAGTCTGATTGTCGGGAAACCAGTGATAGGGTCAGGGACATCGTTGGCTGTCGCATCAATTTTGGCGACAGTAACCTTGGCCGCAAGGTCAGGGTTGTTGACATAAAGACTAGCAAGCTCATCGTACTTCGGAGCAAGACTGTCGAATCTGGTCAGTTGTGTCCGCTTGGCAAATATGGAAACAAAGTAGGAGATAACATACGCTTTGCAGTGCCCGCACCATGGCGCATAAAACTCTAGAAGAACGTCCTTGTCGTTATCAAGGACAAGCTCCTTATAAGAGTGTGCCACAACAACGGTCACTGGGCCATCCTGAGTCTCCGGGATAGGCTCTGACTTGATGCTAGGCTCGATCTTGCCATGAAGAACGTCTTGAATAAAGATCTCCAAATCTTCCACCTTGAGTTCCTTGGACTGGTCATACGGGTACTTGGCATTCTTCGCAGGATCTTGAATGGCAAAGGCAGGGAAGTTCTGGGGATCGAGATTGAGGTTTCCTGCATGCGCACCGAACATCTTGGCATCAATAGTAGCGATGTTGATAGAGCCTCTGTGCTTCTCCGCGATCGGCTTGAAATCCTCCGTCAATTGTTCCCGCTCTTCCTTGGTTTCGGCGAAAATGTAT